AGTAGTTGGTGGTCTGTCCCACAATCAGCCCCCGGCCTGGTTTTCACTACTGATAGTGAGCTTCTCCAGCGAGTGTTTCCACAAATGTAATCAGTCTGATTCCTATGCATACCATCACGTGAAATCCATGTGTATAACCTGCGTTTGTGTTTCTTATAAAAGGTCTTTGAAATGAATAAATCACTGAATGTACAGAATTTTATCATTCAGTCTCCAGCCTCATTTCTGTCACTGAGTCCTTGTTTTCCAGCTACTGATCCTTCTTCCCTGTTCCCATCTTTGCGCTCCAGTCGCCCATTATTATCAATGCATCTTGACTGCATGTTTGAGCAATTTCGGACTGCAAAAGTTGAGAGAAATCTTCCATTTCCTCCTCTTTGGCTCTAGTTGTAGGTGCATATACTTGAATGATAGTAGTATTCACTGGACTTCCTTGTATGAGCATGGATATTATCCTGTCATTCTCCTCATTGTATTTCCTGATGAATCTAGAAATGACTTTTTAAATTATGAAACCAACCTCTTTTTCTTTCTCAGCCTTTCACCACCCGCACAGTAGATCATATGATCATCTGATTAAAAAAGTCCCATACCTGGTCAGTATGATGGAAGCGCAGGGGTGGACACAGGAGCGGTGGAGCCACTTGGGAGTACAGCTGTTGAATCTGGGGCAGCACTCTATCATAGCTCACCCTCCAGTAGGTTTCAGATCATGTAAACGGTGTAAGTTCCCCCCCCCCAGACTCCCGGCCCCCATCTTTTTACCAGTGTGGATTTGAACCTCCTACTTCAGAGTTGCCAGTGTGCCCCGGCCAGCAGGTTCTTCAACATGAGCCTGAAGGAGGGAGAGTGGGGCTGAGAAAGGGACAAGGGGCACAACGAATTGAGACAAGACGAAATTCCGATCAAGTCTCATTTATTCTGGCTTTTACTCCAGGTTTTATAGGGGAACCATGCAGTTGTCTTGAAGTAGGTGGTGTTGCTATGGAAACCCGGCCCTAGGATATCTATCCGCCACAGGAAGGAGGAATGCCCTAAGGAGCTGAAGGACAAGAACTGAACCAATGAGGCAAGTGCCTTTCCAGGAAGGGGCAGGGTGGCCTAGATAGAGCCTATTCCACTGCAAAACAGGCACAAGTGTAATAAGTTAGGGTTGCTCACGTCAGAGCCAAGGCCCTTTGGGGATGGCCTCCCACAGGGTCCCCCTTCTCCAATATATAAAAGGTCATTAATGGCTCACATCTGTGGTAGGCTTCATGCCTAGCATTCTTCTTTTTCACAGGTTCCTTATCCATCACTGGAAAGCAGGGCATCTTTGGCCCTGTTCCTGTCTTAGGTTGGTAACCAGGCAAGTGAAAAGAAGGAGGCATGCTAATCCCTTCACCGGCAATGAACCCCTAGGAGGGTGACTAGTCTTTCACTGAGTCCCCTTATCTTTTTGGCCATTATTGACAGATAATTGACATTATTGACAATAAAAGACATTGATTCTGGTGTGAAAAGGGCAACAGCAATCAGAAAGATTAGATAAGGCTTTTAGGGGGGAATGTCTTTATCTTAGTTGTTGCTGTTTTGTTATGTGCCTTCCAGTCACTTGCGACCCTTAGGGACCGTATGTATGATAGCCCTGCACCCTATCTTGTGTCAACTTCACTATCTCTGACACATCCGTTCTGTCTTGGAGAGGGTGAAAACAAGTCTCTCCTTGGAGGCTAGAATTTTCAAGCTCCATCTCACATATTTAGGGCACGTGGCCAGGAGGGACCAGTCCTTGGAGCAGGACATCATTCTCGGAAGAGTGGAGGGACAGCGCAGGAGAGGAAGACCCCGGATGACATGAATTGATACAGTCACTGGGACAACGGTGGTTGGTGTGTTGGAATCAGTGAGACTGGCTCAGGACAGGGCTGACTTCAGAGCTGCTGTGCACAGGGTTACTATGGGTTGCAGGCAACTCGACTTCAAATAACAACATCAGAAAAAACCTGTTAAGAGTTGTTGTGAGTTACTCCACTTTGATGGAGAAACCTAACACCACCAACCACCACGTGGAGTGCCAGAAGATCAAACAAGAGGGTTTTGGCAGAAATGTATGAAAACAAAATACTCCTTAGAAGGATGGATGGTGAGACTCTACCTCCTATGCTTTGGACGTGAAAGTAGGAGGGCCTGGAGAAAGACATCATGCTTAGTAAAATAGACCATCAGGGAAGAGGCCGACCCTTACAGAGGTGGGTTAACATAATGGTCAGGGACCTATACCGGGTCAAGATGGCCACAACAAAACTGCAGAAGAAGGGGCCGGCCGAGGGACAGGGCTCGCCCTTTGGGAGTGAGACGGACTGGCATGGGACATTTTGAGTCAGAGGATCATATGAACTACTGTGATCTGCAGAGCCTTGTACGAAGTCCTTGGCAATTTTTCCGCAATATTTTTCATATTAAAGACCAAAGTAATGCACTGTTATTAGCTGTCGGGTGAGGATCATCAATTCGTAGCTCACCCTCAAGTGAATTTTGAGATCATGTAAATTGTGTAGTTCCTCCACCCCCATCTTCCCAGGGTGGATTTGAACCTCCTGCTTCAGAGTTGCCAGTGCAACTTTTTATCCACAAAGCCACCAGATCTCCCTCCAAACGCCCTACCACGAATGTAGAGTAATTGCTAATCCTAGAGGCCTCTCTTCTCTGGCAGTTCGAATCTCCACTTTGGAAGAAAGATAGGCACTCTCTTCCAGTGCTATTGATGATTGCCTTGGAGTCGTGCATGATTCATAGGGACTCTGAACAAAAGGCTTGATGCCCCTCTACAACTATCGACATTGATCAAAGTTCATAGTTTCTGGAGGTACAGTGCTATTACAGCCTCAGAAACTAAAGGGAGAGTCAGCTATGAGTTGGTTTAGATTCAAAAGCCAGCAAGTGAGAGTGAGAGGATAAACTGAATGGAAAGTCAACTTGCTCTACTATACATTTCACTCATAAAATTTTGGAAAAAAGTTTGTATTTTAATACATATGTAATAGGGGGCAAAATTCTTCTTAGAAAGCCCTTAAAACTCAGCAAACAGATGAAATCAGTTAGGTGGGGAAATGACAGCCTTTTTAACAAATGGTGTTGGCAAAACTGGAACACTATCTGCAGAAAAATTAAACAAGATCCACACCTCACTCCATATACAAAAACCAACTCAAGGTGGATCATGGACCTAGGACTAAAACCAAGGACTGTAAACTTCATTCAAGAAAAGCTTGGAAGAACTTTAGTAGTCCTAATCCACAACATAAAGAGTCTTCCAAGTATCCTGAAAAATTTAAAACCAGGAGAAGATAAAATAGATGAATGGGACCTTCTAAGAATCAAATCCCTATGCACATCCAAAAACTTCTCCAACAGGGTAAAAAGGGAAGCCACAGCCTGGGGAAAAGTCTTTTGTAATAACATGTCAGATAAGGGACTTATATCTAGAATTGATAAAATTCTTGAGAGCACCACATCTAGAATTTATAAAATTCTTGAGCACCACAACAAGATAAGGGTAAATAATCCAATAGAAAAATGGGCACAGGATATGAACAGACACTTCACCAAAGAAGGCATTCAGATGGCCAACAAGCATGTGGAGAAATGTTCAAAATCCCTAGCCCTGAGAGAGACGCAAATCAAGACAACTATGAGATATCATCTCACCCCAGTAAGAATAGCAAAATTTAACAGAACAGCAAGCAACAAATGCTGGCGAGGTTGTGGAGAAACTGGAACCCTTATTCACTGTTGGTGGGAGTGTAAAATGGTACAACCACTGTGGAAAGCTGTATGGCGCTTTCTCAAAAAGTTGCAAATAGAGATACCATTCGACCCAGCAGTTTCACTACTGGGAATATACCCCAAAGAAACCTTAACTGACATCCAAGCAGATATATGCACACCCATGTTTACTGCAGCTTTGTTCAGAATAGCAAGGAGTTGGAAACAGCCTAAATGCCGATCAACAAATGAATGGATAGAGAAGCTGTGGTATATTCACACAATGGAATACTACACTGCTTTGAAAAACAAGGAACTCATGCAATATTCAAAATGGGTGACTCTGGAGGACATTATGCTGAGTGAAATATCTCAGTCACAAAGGGACAAATATTATATGATGCCACTGTTGTAGAATGAGGCTGACATTGGGGTGGGGGTAAGACTGAGAAAAACTGGATAAATTATGTTGACTGCATTGAAGCCAATGAGGGAAGAGAGTAGTTTAAAATTAATATATTTTAGGGCATTATGTTTATCACAAGAGTTCGGAATGAGGGTTGCAGAGTGGAGTGTACTTGGGGTGGGAGTGGGGAGGTGCTGGGCGGGGGATTGTGTACCAATGAAGGAGGTTTTCTTTTGCTTTTCAAGGAGAGGAGCAAACTGGGGGGGGGGGTGGGGGTGAGTGGGTGGGGAGAAAAGTGCAACAATGAATGAATGGAATTCCAAAATCTCTGTAGATGTTCATTGAAATTAATAATAAAAAAATTCATGATAATTTAAAAGAAAACCCTCAGCAAACAACTGTTCTCATTCATCAAGTCCACATACACGTCCAGGGACTAAACATTGGAAGGGCTTTGTAGCTCTGTAAAAAGCCCTGTAAAGTTCTAGCTTGTGGAATCTGGTGAGTCACCCGTGGTGCTGGCATATTGTGTATATAGGCTGGGGTGCCCCAAGGATCCTTTTGGGTGCCTTCTGAAAGGGCCCCGGAGGCCTGGTCCTGGCTGTAATCATTGGCTTATTGGGCCCTTGGCAAAAAGCCAAAGGAGGTGGATGGAACTGGGGTGTCGAAACCCGCACTCCCCGAGAAGGCGGGATCCTCTGGCGCAGGGACATTGACAGGTGCAGGGCCAGGCACAGGGGCGTCGTGAGGTGCAGGGACATGCGCAGTGGAGTCTGCAGGCACATGGACATAGGCAGGGGCAGGGCCATCAGCAGGCGCAGTGGTGTCTGCAGGGGCGTAGGCGAGCATGGGATTGTGCGCAGCCGCAGAAGGTTCTGTCTGCTACTCTTTCTGCTTCTTCACTTCCAGCGATGCTTTGGAGCGGTGGTCCTTGAACCACACCTACCAGCAAACGCTGTGGGTAGTGAGCAGACTGGATGAAGAGGTACCTTCCTGCCTCCCTCTACCTAGACCCAGTGAGAGGGCCCCTCCGTCTTAGGGCGGCAGATCTGGGGCCCAGCATGTGACATCTCCAGCTTCTTGTTATCCCAAGGTTGGCAGGCAGTTCCATGAACTCAGTCTCCTCAGGTTAATATTTACACACTTGGAAGGAATCAACTCTCCCAGCTGCTACCCTGTGCCTCATCAATTTCCCCAAGGCCACAAGCTAGAAAAGCTTAAGAAACCTAGTTGAAATGACACAAGTCTTAGGATCCACACAGGTGGTTTGGGTTGTTTTGGGGAGATGGTTCAGGAGGATCCAGAGGGCGGGGACAGAATGGGGGTAGGGCACTTGTACAAGGCTGCAAGGAGGGTCTCCCAGGACTCAGAAGGTCCCATGTTCATTCCTGTTGGGTTAATTTCTTTTTTTTTCTTTGTCCTAAATATTCTTTTTTTTTCTATAATTATATTTTATTAATTTTCATAAACATTTACAGAGATTTTGGGCTTCCACTCATTCATTGTTGCACTATTCTCTCTACCCTCCTCCCAGTTTGTTCTTGTCCAAATGCCACAGTGCTTGTCAAAGCCAGTTCTGATTAATCTTCTTTGTCAGTGTGTCCTTTGCCATTCCCTATCACTCCTCCCTGAGAGAGACTTCACCCTGAGTCATAAGGAAAAGGGGATGGCGTATTCTCTTAGCTACTTCCTGCTGAAAAGGGACGCTGTGGGTTTCAGGGTGAAGATCTTCTCTCACTACTCTAAAGGGCCCCTTTGGCAGTAGGAAACACATAGACTATTATGGAGATTGATTTTGGAATTCAGATGCACTCTTATTGATTGTGCTTGGCTGTACATGTACATATCCTTCAAGATGTATCATGGGGGTGTTGCAACCTAGAAGACACAAATTTGACTAACAAGTTATAAGTACATGAGTCCAAAAATTATGGAAAAGTAAAAGAAAAGATTCTTTCATTGTTTTACAAACACTCCCCCAGGTCCCCTCCACCATGCAGCCCTCGCTCTAGTCTCCTGTGATGACAGAAATACCCAGTTACATCTCTCTTTTAGACGGTTCTCTCCCTCCTCTGTTTCAGTGCAGTATATATTATTGAACCCATCTTACTCAGTCTCTCCCCAACCCCAAGGACAGTCCCATTCTACAACAGCGGCATCATGTAATATTTGTCCTTTTGTGACTGGGATATTTCACTCAGCATAGTGTTCTCCAGAGTCAACCATTTTGAATAATATTGCATGAGTTCCTTGTTTTTCAATGCAGCATAGTATTCCATTGTGCGAATATACCACAGCTTCTCTAGCCATTCGTTTGTTGATGGGCACTTAGGTTGTTTCCAACTCCTTGCTATTGTGAACAAAGCTGCAATAAACATGGGTGTGCATATATCTGCTTGGATGTCAGCTATGGTCTCTTCAGGGTATATTCCCAGTAGTGGAATTGCTGGGTCAAATGGTATCTCTATTTGCAACTGTTTGAGAAAGCGCCATACTGCTTTCCACAGGGGTTGCACCATTTTACACTCCCACCAACAGTGAATCAGGGTTCCAGTTTCTCCACAACCTCGCCAGCATTTGTTGCTTGCTGTTCTGTTAAATTTTGCTATTTTGACTGGGGTGAAATGATATCTCATAGTTGTTTTAATTTGCATCTCTCTTAGGGCTAGGGATTTTGAGCATTTCTTCATGTGTTTGTTAGCCATCTGAATGTCGTCTTCGGTGAAGTGCCTGTTCATATCCTGTGCCCATTTTTCTATTGGATTATTTGCCTTTATCTTGTTGTGGTGCTCAAGTATTTCATAAATTCTGGATATAAGTCCCTTATCTGATATGTTATTACCGAATACTTTTTCCCAGTCAGTGGCTTCCCTTTTTACCCTACTGGAGAAGTTTTTGGATGTGCATAGGGATTTGAGTCTTAGAAGGTCCCATTCATCTATGTTATCTTCTCCTGGTTGTAGCTTTTCCAGGATACTGGAAAGACTGTTAATGTTGTGGATTAGGACTTCTAGTGTTGTTCCTAGCTTTTCTGTAATGAATTTCATAGTCCTTGGTTTTAGTCCTAGGTCCATGATCCACCTTGAGTGGGTTTTTGTGTATGGAGTGAGGTGTGGGTCTTGCTTGAGTCTTTTGCAGATATTTTTCCTGTTGGGTTAATTTCCACTGTTATTCCCACTTAAATTCCCCTGGATAACAGTAGAACTGCCTTAGAGGGAGCACAAAGCTGCAATGTTGAAATAAGACCCATTACTAGGTAATTCTACTCGAAGTTAGTCCTTATCCATTATACCACCAGGCTCTGCAGGACTATGGGGATGCTCCCCACCCCCTTAACCGTCTCAGTGAAGACCTGGATTTGGTGAACCGGAACTTGGAGTATTTCGGTCAGAGCCAAGCAGTCCTCATGTCCAATAAATCTGGACTTTGTAAAATAGTCCTCGAGCACTTCCTTCTGTTCGGGGGTGAAGACTGTGCGCTGTTGGCACGGCCTAAACTGGACCTCCCATTAGGATTTGAAAGCAAGCCAAGTGGGTCAGCCAAGTCCCCCCACAGTCACTCCAATCTGCCCCTGTAACCCTACATTCTCTCCTCGGACCAAGCTAATCTTAGTTCCAAACCTTCCAGCCTTAATGTTCACATCTTTGAAATGGGCACACAAAAAAAATTAAAAACCCAAATGCATTGCCCTCAGGGAGAGCCCGTCTGACACATCAGTTACAGCCAACTGGGAAAGCCACAGGGTTTCACTATTCTTCTGCCCCCTTTGGGCTCCTCACAAAAAATTCACTGCCTCCCACTTGTGCTATCAAAGCTGAGTCACACCCGACCCTTCTGTGGGGCTTTTAGAGAATGGGATGAGATTGCCCATCTTTCTCCTCCCCAAACAGTGGTTGAATTCAAACCATGGGCCTTTGAATCAGCAGTGCAATGCCTTACAAGGAAGCCACCAGAAATCGCTCCTTGCTTGCACAGACTCCCAGGTGATCCTCCAGCTGGTTTCTAGAGGCAGGGCAGGGTGGGTCAAGCACAGCTGGGCAAACCTGGAGGGGCTGGCTGCTATCTCCCCCTGCTTCATTCCTTCATTGGAGAGCAGACCCTCAAAACCACATAAAGGCTGTTTCTCTGCGGTACCGTGCAAGAAGGTTGACGAAACCAATACTTTCCTTCCTGAAACCTCCATATCATTGGCGCAGTTCCCACATCAAATCCAGCCTGCCACTCCAAGACCATTCCTTGCCCCCTCTTTCCGAACCCCCTATACCTCCTCACCCTAGGCCTGTTCCCCCCCTCACCCTAGGGCTGTTCCTCTCCAGGTCCCTTCTCACCATGTACACCATGCCCCTTCGCTGCCCCTCTTGCCGCCAACCCTGGACTCACCTTTCAGAAAAGAACCCAATAGCTTCCTTCCCCCTCTATTTGCCACAGGAAGTAGCCGTAAACAGAGATTCTGCTAGAGGCTTTCCCCTTGTTCCTTCTGCTCAGGGAACTCCTTCCTGTTTGGCTCACGGTGAACACCTAGGTCCCTCAGAAGCTGGGCTTTAAATACCACTTTTAAGACTGTGCTCCCTCCCCAGGACCCGCCTCTCTCAGACCCACCCTATGGGCCCAGGTGCCAAGGAAGGACCTTCCATAACCAATCAACCCCAGATGGGACAAAGAAGTAACGAAGATGATTATTCGGCGTTTCCTTTAGGGAAGAGGGTCCATTCAAAACTTATTCCTTCCCACCAAAGATGAGCAAAGTGGAGGACGGGTCAACTGTGGGAACCACGTCCCAGCCTCGGAGAAGGACATATCAGCTGTGAGACCCACCCACACCGAACAACAAACCCATTGCTGTAAGGCCAATTCAGACGCAAAATGTGCACCAGAGCACACAGCTGATTGGAACCTTGTACCTTCTGTTGCCACCCACTACATCAGGCAGGCACTAAAGACCTTTATTCTGGGCATTTTACAGATCTCCAGGGTCCTTCCAGTGTTCAACAGTTCCAAGACATGTCTGTGGACTTTAAGAATGAGAACCTTAGTTTCCTGGAATTGTAAGGGCCTCTGGCAGTGCCCGCGGTGCCCTACAATCCCACAGGGGGCCAGTTGGAGGCACTGTGGCGTAGGGTCTACAGGCGCGCGTCAGGGCGCAGCACCACGGACAGCTCCCAGCGCACGCGCACAGTCAGCATGGGCAATTAGTGATACGTACTTTACACTGACGCTGCCAATTGGTCCAGTGGTGAGAATCTTTGTCTTCTGGACATTGAGCCTCAGTCCATACTGAAGGCTGCAGTCCTTGACCCTCCGCAGCAAGTGCATGAGGTCCTCCTCAGTTTCA